TCAACTCCAACCTTATACGGTGGTATTTTTCGTTTCCATGGTAACCATTCTGTCGCGGTCGCGTTTACTGAATTAAATTCATATCTGGAGAACCATACCACTTAGAGAACTGTATAATAGCTTAAAAGAACCGAAATGGCCAAGTTTATATTCAACTTATCAATCAACTATATGCCTAGAACCTTTATTTTTTGAGTTAAAGGCAAAAAGTTGGTTTTGACTGCGTTGCTATGGCGATCGCGTTGAATTTTTGCATTTTATCCCATTATTTTTTCCAAAATAGTAAGCAATAAACAATGTTGTAACAAAAAGGCAATATCATGTAATGAATAGATATGTAGGGAGGGGTGGTACTGGATTCAGGGCCTCAATCCAGTACCACCCTCCCTCCAGCCTCCCTAAGACCCTTCAATACAGTACCATCTCTCCCTCCAGCCTCCCTAACACCCCAAAATCCTGTACAGCTGTACCACCCCTCCCTCCAGCCTCCCTAACACCCCAAAATCCTGTACCACCCCTCCCTTCAGCCTCCTTAACACCCCACAATCCTGTACCACCCCTCCCTCCAGCCTCCCTAACACCCCACAATCCAGTACCACCTATCCCTGGCCCTCCAGCCTTCATAACACCCCACAATCGAGTACCACCCCTCCCTCTAGCCTCTTTAACACCCCAAAAATCAAAATCCTGTACCACCCCTCCCTCCAGTCTCCCTAACACCCCTCCCTCCAGCCTCCATAACACCCCACAATCGAGTACCACCCCTCCCTCTAGCCTCTTTAACACCCCAAAAATCAAAATCCTGTACCACCCCTCCCTCCAGTCTCCCTAACACCCCTCCCTCCAGCCTCCATAACACCCCACAATCGAGTACCACCCCTCCCTCTAGCCTCTTTAACACCCCACAATCGCGTACCAGCCCTCCCTCAAGCCTCTTTAACACCCCTAAAATTAAAATCCTGTACCACCTCTCCCTCTAGTCTCCTTAACACCCAACAATCCAGTACCACCCCTCCCTCCAGTCTCCCTAACACCCTTCCCTGACCCTCCAGCCTCCATAACACCCCACAATCGAGTACCACCCCTCCCTCTAGCCTCTTTAACACCCCAAAAATTAAAATCCTGTACCACCTCTCCCTCTAGTCTCCTTAACACCCCACAATCCAGTACTACCCCTCCCTTCAGTCTCCCTAACACCCCACAATCCAGTACCACCCCTCCCTGGCCCTCCAGCCTCCATAACACCCCACAATCGAGTACCACCCCTCCCTCTAGCCTCTTTAACACCCCAAAAATTAAAATCCTGTACGTCCTCTCCCTCCAGTCTCCCTAACACCCCTCGCTCTAGCCTCCTTAACACCCCACAATCCTGTACTACCCCTCCCTCCAGCCTCCATAACACCCCAAAATCATGTACCACCCCTCCCTTCAGCCTCCCTAACACCCCACAATCCAGTACTACCCCTCCTTCCGGCTTCCCTAACACCCCAAAATCATGTACCATCCCTCCCTCTAGCCTCCTCAATACCCCACAATCCAGTACTACCCCTCCTTCCAGCCTCCTTAACACCCCACAATCCAGTACTACCCCTCCTTCCGGCTTCCAGCCTCCCTAACACACTACGATCCAGTGCCACCCCCCTGGCTCTCTAGCCTCCCTAAAACCCCACAATCCAGCACTACCCCTGGCCCTCCCTGGCTCTCTAGCCTCCCTAACACCTCACAATCCAGTACTACCCCTTCCTGTCTCTCTAGCCTCCCTAACACCCCACAATCCAGTATTTGTGGATTGTGGGGTGTTAGGGAGGCTGGAGGGAGGGGTGGTACTGGATTGTGGGGTGTTAGGGAGGCTGGAGGGAGGGGTGGTACAGGATTGTGGGGTGTTAAGGAGGCTGAAGGGAGGGGTGGTACAGGATTTTGGGGTGTTAGGGAGGCTGGAGGGAGGGGTGGTACAGCTGTACAGGATTTTGGGGTGTTAGGGAGGCTGGAGGGAGAGATGGTACTGTATTGAAGGGTCTTAGGGAGGCTGGAGGGAGGGTGGTACTGGATTGAGGCCCTGAATCCAGTACCACCCCTCCCTACATATCTATTCATTACATGATATTGCCTTTTTGTTACAAAATTGTTTATTGCTTACTTTTTTGTAAAAAATAATGGGATAAAATGCAAAAATTCAACGTGATCGCCATAGCAACGCAGTCAAAACCAACTTTTTGCCTTTAACTCAAAAAATAAAGGTTCTAGGCATATAGTTGATTGATAAGTTGAATATAAACTTGGCCATTTCGGTTCTTTTAAGCTATTATACAGTTCTCTAAGTGGTATGGTTCTCCAGATATGAATTTAATTCAGTAAACGCGACCGCGACAGAATGGTTACCATGGAAACGAAAAATACCACCGTATAAGGTTGGAGTTGAACTCTAAAATTTTTTTTCCAAACTCACAATGACTTAATGCAACTTTTTGGAAGGTGGATCAATTATTGGACCATGTTTGTGTTTTTTGATACAGCCTACTGAACAACCTCCCATCAACGGGGCTACCTAGAATCTTATGGGCAATTGCCCGGGAGAGTTTGAAGATACCGCTTGACCCCAGGTGGATTGGGTCATCCGGCTTCTTGTACCTACAAAACTGTTTGTTCAGTAGACCCTCCTCATCGACAAAACTATCAAAATCTAAATTTCCTATTCTAGCGTTGGTATTACAGTACCCAAACAATATACTATTAAACTCCATGGCTCTCTCATTTAGCCAGGAGGACCTAGTTGGTAGGATTGGTGAAACTATAACTTTAGAGTAAGGACAAATTTCACAAATATTCGTGAGCTTCTTCGTCAGCTCATTAGCCCAGTGTTTAACATCACCCCCTCCCCTCTTAATATTATTTACACCACAGTGTACTACAACATTCTTATATCCTACACAAAGGGCAGGGTCTAACTGATCTATTGTGAAGCATTCAAGTCTTTTTCCAGGCAGTTTGTGACCGAATGTCCCTTTTCCAGCACCAAATCGGAGGAACCAGGTATTTGAGTCACCAATAATCAATGTTGCATTGCTACTGCTGCTCACGTAGCGGAACGTTATACTGAATCTCACGTCCCTCCTTTCACTGCTCTTATCTATTCTGTGGTCCCAGAGGAACTGAGACTGCTTGCTCATGATATATAGACTGCGTCCCTCTATTGTCTCAATGACTTCCCCACTTTCTGATCCTTTCATTGAGAACTTAACTGAACACTGGCTTCCTAACGATACAGTGAAAATCGAACTATCATGCACAAGCGAGTTCTCGTTATCCGAGTGTTTAGGGAGAAAACTGCTCTCATCATTGTACCGGTTGATCAGGCATTGATTAATAACTGTTTCAGGGCAAAGCTTCTTTATCCTTGAGGCAAGTTCAGCAAGAACTTCAGGCAGGTCTTCTGATATGGGCTTAGCAGCTTTTGCCCCGGGGTAATCATATCGTTCACCAAAGCTTATAACTCCATGCCCGTTTTCTGTGTTCTTGACAAAATCATCGTTCTGTTGAGCAAGGAAATCTAATAGCTGAGAGTTCAAGGTTGTATCAATGAATTCTGGTAAATAAGACATGATGTGCTTAGACTTAGGGTCGTCTGCACTTGAAGGCTTCTGTGCATCTAGCAGGAGCTGTTCATGGTCTGTTTCACAGGCTGCTGGTGGCCCTATGATAAAAGGAGGCATGGGCAGGTCAGGAGTGGATACGTTTGAGGATCTGCTGTTTTTGAAACAGTTAATATCAACTTTGAGCTCAGCAAGCTTGGTGTTTATGGAGTCAAGAGTCCTAAGGTGGCTATCATTGTCTTTCAAGGTTTTAATGGATGTTTGAATATCTTCTAAGGACTTGTGTATAGAGCTTTCGTTAGAAGTAGTATGACCCATTGGAATGCTGGAGGGGGCTGACAAATAAGAAGGGGACTTAACCTCGTGGTCACATCTCTTGCCACTTATTACAGCACAGACATTTTCTGCAAGGCCAAGCAGGGATAGTAGACCCTCTGCTAAGGTGAGTTTTTTAAGAGATGGGCAGCTCTTAACCATAGATGGCGTTATGATTGCAAATTTGTTCACATCAAGTTTTAGAATGTTACAGATGTTGAGCTTAATGATATCTACCTCTGAGCGCAGGCTCTGCGAGTGAGTCAACAGGAAGTTGTCAAGGGGGGTAGACCCTGAGAAGAAACTAAGGAGGCTGCTACAATCTTTATTTTCCTCTGATTCGTGGTATTCTGAAAGAATTATATTTTCAACATCCTTCAGTACTTCGTCAATTTCCACCATAACGGTAGGAGTCGTGGGTGCAGGTGTAGTCTGATCCGGAACCGTAGTAGTTGAAGTCTGGTCCGGAACAGATTGAGAAGAGTCAGTGGGTGTATCGTTCATGGCGTAGAAGCAATTGGGGGTACCAGGCAATCCAGGGGGCACCTTCACGTCCAACCAGCACACTCCCTGGAAAGAAAGAAAAGCAGATAGCAATTTCAAATGTTCCGTTGTGGAAAACAATGAAAGTGTATTTAAACTGGATTAGTCAAAATGATTCAAAAGATTGAAAAATTGAACAGACTGACGGACTACGACACATGGGACAAGAGTGAGTGAGTATGAAAAATATGAGGTGGTTGGACTGGCAAGCCCTATCATTTAATCAGAATACATTAAATATAATCCATAAGCCATATATATGTCAGCCTGTTCTTGGAGCACAGCCCCAAAAGTTATCAGAAGTATTGGTTCAAGATTTAAGCTCAAAATTCTTTCAACACTATCTATACATTAATCAGGGTTGTCCAATTGTCCAATTGTGGATTGTGGTGTGAATGGAGTTATACATTTCCAAACAGAAACATTATTCACTACAACTACTTAACTTCTTAACAGGTTAGCGTGCCAGTCTTCTGATTCAGCACCCCCTGGACCATCATAGTACCCCCGATGCAGTTGACTTTAGCAAGCCATGGACATATTGGACATCCTCAAATTATTTGTTATATAGTAGTGTTGAAAGTATTAAAACAGTGGCAACTAACGAAACGAACCTGGGGGAGGGGCATGTTTTACATTTGCGTGCAAGAGCTATTGGACAAGAGTGTCATCATGCAAAAACTTAACTGTGCTGTAAAATTTAAAACAATTACAATTTAGCCATTTTGTGTGATTTACTTAATTTATTTGGAAGACTTTGCCGCACCAACTATCATTGCATGATTGCTTTCAGCTTTGCAAAGTAAAGATTTGGAAGGGTTGATATTGTCAATCGATTAATTTACTTATTGTACTGCAATATAGAGGAAAACGAACAGCCCAGCATTTGCAGCTAAACAAAAATTCAGTTTTTAAAAAAATTCAATTTTATGCTTTGCCGTTTATACAAGTATGGTTGTCACTTTTTTAATAAATTAGTTATAGGTTGACGGGGCGAAAGAAAGTGCGTGATGTTCGTTATAATCTCTCATATCAAACGACTTAACGGTTGATACTCGTAAAATATTTGTTTCAAATGTTATATTTCAAGACCGTCGACGAGTCCAGCTCAGCGCGCGTCTCTATAACAAACGACAACTTGGTAAAAATGTTGAATGGACACCGATCTCCATCACGATACAAAATTAGAATTGTAGAATTTATTGTATAACAATTAGAAGGAGTGGAAGTTGCTTGTATCACGACACATCGTGACCCCCACGGTCGTTTCACTAAGTCGTTCTTTGTCATATACGTTGTATGACCCGCCGCGCACGAGTGCACGGCTCCCCCTGTATCGTGAAACGACTGTGGGGGTCACAACGTGATACAAATCGTTCTTACCTGGGGACCTCAGGCTATTATGTTCATAAACATTTAAACCGAATAGAGATTAGGCGGAATGACAGCAGACAGGCTGAGCGCTACCCAGTAATGTCGTTCTTACCATACAGGGGGAGCCGCGCACTTGTGCGCGGCGGGTCATACAACGTATAACAAGAGGTAGCAGTAATATAATTGGAGGACTTCGCCGCTTCGACGCGCCGCGCAAACTAGCATTCTTGCTTCGCATCGTCGACGATCGTTGCTCTGCTTCGCAAAGCAACGATCTCGACGGATTGACATCGTCAATAGTGTGGTTGGTTTTATCCGATTTTTTTAGATTTTTATGGAGGTTGTACCATTGTAAAACTTACATTGTGACAGTATAGATGGCGAAATATTTTTGAAAATGGTCCTAACACAGCTTTGATCGTAACAATAACATTGGGTGAATAGATTGGGTGAACAAACTATGAAGCAGGCAATTATATGTGCTCATCCATCATTCTGCATATGTAAGCTCAGTAGTTTAATTGCTGATTCATACTCAATGGTGAATCGATAGAATTCATGTGTCGGAGATCTCGTGAGAACACCTTTTAATAATTATAGCCCTCAGGATCGCATTATCCCGATCCGGCCGTAATGTGTATTGAGGTATGCACTAATTGTAGTGGTGAACGGTTGCAGCTCAGGCTATGTTTCAGTATAACTATATATCAGAGATCGCAGTATATTTACATTCTACTCGGATTGCAGATTGAAATATTTTCCTGTTGGAACCATGACACATGCAGGGGAATACCAAAATATTAATTGTAGTTGTACAACTAATATGATCAATAATTAATAACGGCAACGCTAATTTGTCCTTATTGGACTTTATTTTTACGGACATAAGTTAATAGTTGCTGCAAATGCCAAATGCTACAACTACAAGTTAAGCCCTATAAGCGTTCATTTTAATGTCCGTTCATTTTAATTTTAATATCCGTTCGAATATTGGCGGACGTTTTAAATTGTAATTAAATAGACCATTGAGCGGTCGCGTTTATTTTAATGTCCGCTCAAAATTATTCCCGTTCACATTATTTCCGGTTGCAGTACGGGTAAAATAACGTCCGAATAAAGCTATCCGATAAGCTCAGGCAGAGCTTTCGGACTGCGTAAAACTAAACAACTTGAAACGTTGAAGAACGCCGTTAAGACATCTGTTGTTAACTCACCTAAAACACAAACATACAGATCAATGGCGAAGAATTCACAGCCAACTGAGCAAGTCATAAGCTCGGAAACGCTCAAAAGCGTAGTAAAACGTGTTGTCGAGGAAGAGGACCGCAGTCTAGTCGCAACGTCATTGTATTTGGTCTGTTACAAGGGAGCGAGATATATAGAGAACTTATTGACACAGTTAGCGTGATTTTCCAAAACATTGGACAGAAACCGAAGATTGTTGAAGCGTGCAAAATTGCCAGAAAATCTAAGGACAATTTAGTTACAGCATCATTAATAAATGAGCAATTACGTTATTCGTTTAAGTTATTGCAAAATATTTGATTCCAATAAATAAAATCCGCCTTGTGCCGCGTGCGCTAATTTACTAATTCTGTACTCGCCTGCGTACACTGTACTGTACAGTGTACAGCAGGAGCAGGCCTGCAGGCATCATGCTACATGCGATTTTACAAATAATGTTCGACTTCAATTTAGACTTTCAGTTGTTGTAGTTGTACTGTATACTAATTGTGTCGGTTTATATATTTACCAGGCGGCGCTCAAATTGCATGATCAATAACGCTAATTTGTCCTTATTGGACTTTATTTTTACGGACATAAGTTAATAGTTGCAAATGCCAGATGCTACAAGTTAAGCACTAGCGTTCATTTTAATGTCCGTTTATTTTAATATCCGTTCGAATTTTGGCGGACGTTTTAAATTGTTAGTAAATAGAGCATTGAGCGGTCACGTTTATTTTAATGTCCTCTCAAAATTATGGCTACGCCCGTTCACATTATTTCCGGTTGCGGTACGGGTAAAATAACGTCCGAATAAAGCTATCCGATAAACTCAGGCAGAGCTTTCGGACTGTAAAACTGGACAACTTGAAATGTTGAAGAACGCCGTTAAGGCGGCGCTCAAATTGCATGATCAATTACGGACATAAGTTAATAGTTGCAAATGCCAGATGCTACAAGTTAAGCACTAGCGTTCATTTTAATGTCCGTTTATTTTAATATCCGTTCGAATTTTGGCGGACGTTTTAAATTGTTAGTAAATAGAGCATTGAGCGGTCACGTTTATTTTAATGTCCTCTCAAAATTATGGCTACGCCCGTTCACATTATTTCCGGTTGCGGTACGGGTAAAATAACGTCCGAATAAAGCTATCCGAAAAACTCAGGCAGAGCTTTCGGACTGTAAAACTGGACAACTTGAAATGTTGAAGAACGCCGTTAAGACATCTGTTGTTGACTCACCTAAAACACAAACATACAGTTCAATGGCGAAGAATTCACAGCCAAAGCTGAGCAAGTCATAAGCTTGGAAACGCTCAAAAGCGTAGTAAAACGTGTTGTTGAGGAAGAGGACCGCAGTCGCAACGTCATTGTATTTGGTCCGTCACAAGGGAGCGAGATATATAGAGAACTTATTGACACAGTTAGCGAGATTTTTCAAAACATTGGACAGAAACCGAAGATTGTTGAAGCGTGCAGAATTGCCACAAAATCTAAGGACAATTCAGTTACAGCATCATTAATAAGTGAGCTTACGTTATTCGTTTAAGTCTGTCTGTCTGTCTGTCTGTCTGTCTGTCTGTCTGTCTGTCTGTCTGTCTGTCTGTCTGTCTGTCTGTCTGTCTGTCTGTCTGTCTGTCTGTCTGTCTGTCTGTCTGTCTGTCTGTCTGTCTGTCTGTCTGTCTGTCTGTCTGTCTGTCTGTCTGTCTGTCTGTCTGTCTGTCTGTCTGTCTGTCTGTCTGTCTGTCTGTCTGTCTGTCTGTCTGTCTGTCTGTCTGTCTGTCTGTCTGTCTGTCTGTCTGTCTGTCTGTCTGTCTGTCTGTCTGTCTGTCTGTCTGTCTGTCTGTCTGTCTGTCTGTCTGTCTGTCTGTCTGTCTGTCTGTCTGTCTGTCTGTCTGTCTGTCTGTCTGTCTGTCTGTCTGTCTGTCTGTCTGTCTGTCTGTCTGTCTGTCTGTCTGTCTGTCTGTCTGTCTGTAATTTCCGAGCGGCTTAATTAAGAAAACGGTAAGAGTTACGGCAGTCTCTATATTTACTAGGCGTTTTTAATGCTAAATGTGTTTCACTTTCAGTGTTTCATAGGTAATGAAACATATTAACATAATATTAATATTATGAATTGGGTCATGCCATGTGAATTTTATATGCTAATCTGCATTCATCACGTTTTTTATACTAATAAATTATTCTTATGTAATGAGTAAGCACGAGAATTTACCTATGATACTAATACTAATAATAATAATTAGAACCCATAGATTTATTTTTTCTGGCATTACCATTTAGTGACAAAATTCGTGCTACCCAGGGTCTGCAGGCCACCTGGCCACCCATGATGGGGTGTCATAATCATGTATTTGTAACTTGCGGTGGATCGAACAAGTAGCTTCAAAACTATTTGGACTGTAATACTAATATGTAATAGCCCCTAGGCTTATTATTATATTAAACAACATAACTCATGATGCTAATTTGCTCAAAAGACACTTTTAACACATTTCTCAAGGTAACTTCATGATAGCTATTAGAGCCTCAGACGTGTTACCGAAGCTCTAATGTTCTACAAAAAAATGTATAATCATGTTTTTGGCTAATACTATGACAAAATTAAAAACTACTCTTTTCGTAATTCATTTATTTGCAAAACTTTGATTATCAGAACAGTATTTCAATAATAATAGTAATACTATTTTCCAAAAGTGCTTATCTATCAAAAGTTTATTAACATCTACTTTCAGTTTATAGATTACACTAATCTTAAGTCTATTAATCGAAATCCTTAAATAATTCCCTGTTAAAGGGCGTATCTTTAACTTTCTTCGACTTTGGAGTCGAGTCTGTATCAGTTCTGTACCGCTTGTGCGTTACTCTACCCGAAAACTCTTTCCGTGCAGCTCCTATCTGGAGGACACTCATCAATTGAGTGTCTTCAGTCCGTCGTCGTTGAACAGCGTGGGACACAAGTGCGACAGTGTGCTCCACA